CCTCCTGGTGCAGAGCAGCCTGGTCTCCCACTGCGCCCTGCCCCTCCCCAAGGGGGTCCCTGCCCCGAGGGTCGGGCCCCCCCGGGCCGTACACCCGCCCAGGCGCTCACCCTCACGGCGGGGGGGGAGCCGTGCTCCAGCAGACACTTGACGGCCCCCAGGCAGAGGTTGGAGGCGGCGATGTGCAGAGCGGTCCCGTGGTTGAAGTCGCTGCAGGTGGAGTTGATCACTGCAAGGCAGAGGGCGGCCGGGCTGGGATCCCGCTGGGCGCGGGGGAAACCGAGGCGCAGAGCCGGGGCGGAGAACCCAGGCGGTCGAACCGCCAGGCCGGACCTCAGGACGGGACCCGGGAGTCCAGGCAAGGGCCTCTGCACTGACCGCTGGACCCCACGTCTCCTCCGACACGGGACCCAGACGTCTGTGCCCCCAGCCCAGCACCCGGACCCTCCCCGCTCTAACCCCGTCAGCCCATCCTCGGCCATGAACCGTCATAGCGGGGGGGCTGAAAAAGGGGGGACCCCTGGTTGCCCCTTCCCCCTCCCCAAACCTTTGGGCTTGGAGGCCTTGAGCAGGATGCGGATGAGCTCGGGCACGTCGAAGTAGGCGGCATAGTGCAAGGCGTTCATGTTGGTCCAGCGGCTCCGCAGGGTCACGTCGGCCCCCAGAACCAGCAGGTGGTTGGACAGGCGCACGGCGGCCGCGGGGTCCCCTGGGGCAGAGGGGGCCAGGATCAGGCCCTTCCTCAGAGCCAGCCCCCCAGGATCAGGACCCCCATAGTTGGTTTTTGGGAGGGGGCGGGGGGGGGAGATCTCCACAACCCCTGGAGTCAAGGGATCTCTGGGGGTGGGCGTCTGCCTGCGTTTGCAGAGAGCCTCAACCGGGGAGGGGGGCGCTGAGGCCCAATCCTCTTCCCCCCGCCACAAGCCAGGACGGTCTTGGGCTCTCTGCTCCACCCCGCCAAGGCCAAGTCGGGAGCGCGGGGGCCAGGCGTGGGGGGACGGGGCCCAGCTCACCCACGCCGTGGGCACCGGCCTTGCAGGCGTAGTGCAGCAGCGTCATGTCCGTCAGCCCGTCCCGGTCGTTCACGTGGCAGCCGCGCTTCAGGATCTGGGGGAGGAAGGGGGTCGGGCTGATCTCGGGGCCGCCCATAGTGTAGGCAGCGCCCCGCCGCGCCCCTCCTCTGCACACCTGTGCGTACGAGCACATAGGCACACATGCACATACACGCACACACACCATACACATGCGTGCTACGTGCACCATGCACACCATACACATGCACGCACACACACACGTACTGGGCGCACACCTATGTGCATATATCATACATGCACGTGTGTGTGTGTATATGTATGTATGTATGTGTATGTACATGTGTGTATGTGTGCATCTGCGTGTGCAGGTATATATGTTTGTATAAACACACAAACACCACACACCGTGCACACATGTATATACACACACATATATGCATGTACCACACATATACGTTCCATGTACATGCATGTATGCACATCACAAACACACATACTGCACACAGCCATGTATACAAACACACACGCACATGTACTATTGCCACACCATACGGACAAACATGTGCATGTATCGTACACACACACACACATCATAAACACATCATATACCACACACACGCTATACACACACAATATATGCACATACCATCCATATGTCACACACGTATATATACACATCCTAACACACATACATCACACACACATGTGCATATACCAAACATACACGTCACATGCACACACGTATATATGCACATCCTAAACACACACACGTATCTGTGCACACACATATATATGTATGCATGCATCGCGCTCCTGCTCAGCGCGGTCCCGGGGCAGGCAGACACACACGTCCCGGCCCCCGTAGCGCCCCCGTCCCTGGACGCGTCGGCGCAGCCCCCTCACCTCATTGCCGATGATGTCGATCTTGTTCAGGATCTGGGGGAGGAAGGGGGTCGGGCTGATCTCGGGGCCGCCCATAGTGTAGGCAGCGCCCCGCCGCGCCCCTCCTCTGCACACCTGTGCGTACGAGCACATAGGCACACATGCACATACACGCACACACACCATACACATGCGTGCTACGTGCACCATGCACACCATACACATGCACGCACACACACACGTACTGGGCGCACACCTATGTGCATATATCATACATGCACGTGTGTGTGTGTATATGTATGTATGTATGTGTATGTACATGTGTGTATGTGTGCATCTGCGTGTGCAGGTATATATGTTTGTATAAACACACAAACACCACACACCGTGCACACATGTATATACACACACATATATGCATGTACCACACATATACGTTCCATGTACATGCATGTATGCACATCACAAACACACATACTGCACACAGCCATGTATACAAACACACACGCACATGTACTATTGCCACACCATACGGACAAACATGTGCATGTATCGTACACACACACACACATCATAAACACATCATATACCACACACACGCTATACACACACAATATATGCACATACCATCCATATGTCACACACGTATATATACACATCCTAACACACATACATCACACACACATGTGCATATACCAAACATACACGTCACATGCACACACGTATATATGCACATCCTAAACACACACACGTATCTGTGCACACACATATATATGTATGCATGCATCGCGCTCCTGCTCAGCGCGGTCCCGGGGCAGGCAGACACACACGTCCCGGCCCCCGTAGCGCCCCCGTCCCTGGACGCGTCGGCGCAGCCCCCTCACCTCATTGCCGATGATGTCGATCTTGTGCTGCACCTGGGGAACCCACTGCCGGATGATGGCGAACAGCTCCGGCACCGTGGTGGCGGGGTCGTACAGGATCTCCTGGCAGGCCGGGTCATTGGGGTCGAAGAAGGTGAACGCTGGGGAAGACGAAGGGGGCGTTGAAATACCACTTCCCCCACAGTAGGAGGATTACGGTAACCCCCTGCTTGCTGAGCCTTCCTTCTGGGGTGCATTTCGGTAGCACCCCCCCGGCCCTCAGTAGGCTCCAGAGTGAACACGCAGCCAAAATGAACCGGGGAGGTGCCACTGGGGGCTCTGATTTGCAGACACCTCCGCTGGGATCGCCCGTTGGCGACGGCTGGACTTCAGCTCTCGCCACGTGACTCCGGGAGCTGGGGTGCCCCCGACCCCCCGGTAATTCAGTCGAGGGCAGCCCCCTCCTCCGCGCGCTGCCCCCATCCCCCGAGGCGTCACATCTCTCGTTGGCCACAACTCATCCCCAGTTAATTATTCGGCACGTGGAAATCCAGGCGGTGAATACCCACGGGCCCCTGCAGCCGAGCCCGCCCGCCGCTCGTCCGTTTGCCGACGACCCAGAAATACAGTTATAAATATCACGTGCGCTTCGTTTGCGGCGGCCAATAGGAGCGGCTCTTCGGCCGGCAGGAAGGATCGTGGGATAGATTTGCCGAGGTGCTGCTGGCATTAAAGGGGAACACCGCACCGCTCACCCCACGAATAGCCCTAATGGCAGGATTCAGGCTGCGAATTCGCTCCTGGGAGCCGGGACGAAGCCCCGGTCCCCGGTGGGGAACGACCAGGCCTGCCCCCCATCCTTTGCTTTGCAAACGGAAAGGCCTGCGAGGGCAGCGCGGCCCAGTGGTCGGATCTGCGGGGAAATCGGCTCGTCTCTGTGCCTCAGTTTCCCCCCGGCCACTTGGGTCTCTCGCCCCCTTCTCCTAGAGGCCTGGCAGGGCCTGGATCTCAGGGCCGTGGGCGTAAAGCAATTTGGTCTCCGAGGTCAATTCAGCCCCCCGCCCCATAGCGGAGAGGGGGAAACTGAGGCACGGAGAGCTTTGTCTCCACCAGCGTCCCCCCTGCTGTTACCACTAGTCCCCA